TCTGAATTGGAATTACTATCCCTTCATGATATCTACTCCCAACTCAGATATTTTTTTTTAAAAAGTCGACTTAATGATAATCTGTATTTTATAACAAGGTCGTTATGTGATATACGTGACATGGCGACTTTAAGCGTCCTGATATCTTAGAGGCTCTTAAAGGGAACAAATATCCCGCAAGATATAAAATGATCAGGATATATAAAGAATATATAGCGGAATGTTTATTGAATATTTTATATGGTATGTTTCGATTGAAAGGATATGGAGATAACAAACAGTATTCAATAAGAAGGTCCATAACACAATATAAATAGGAGCAGAGCAAACACGGGCCTCCGAAACATCAGAAGTGGGACCAGATGTCATGGAGGAGTGAGCATACCGTGCTGACCCGTCACACCCGCCATGTGCTCCTATAATCAGGAAATAACGGGGAAAATCCGTCGTCAATTTAATGTATAAATAATGGACTAACAATTGATATGATAAATTGTTTTAATTTTTTTTATTTTCCCATCATGTAGGATTTAATTTCTCGTTTGATATTACTTTGCTAAATATACTTAATATCTTATCTAACCTGATCCCACCTCTGATATTTCGGGGGCCCGTGTTTGCTCTGCTCTTATTTTGTATTGTTTTATGGACTTTGAGATTGAATACTGTTCGTTATCTCCATATCCTTCTCTAAACAAAGAAATAGTGCGTACCTTAAAGAGATAATGAACAAAAGTACAAAAGTAAAACATGGTTCATAAAGAATACAATAAAGGTATGACAATTTAAGGATTTCAATTGTTTTATTTTTGCGTTTCCCAGGTCTTTATTTCTGGTCTTTTTAATTTACTAAATTGAAAATATCCTCTTACCCTCATTTATTATGAAGATCAACAAAACAACGAGAAAGGGCTCCCACTACGAATGAATGTTTGGAGGGAATATAATTTTAGACACATATGACAAAAAAAAAACACCAGTGCTTATTCTTCAATAATTTAATGCTTTAGAAATTTGCATTGACCACTAAAAAAATTTGAAACTGTAAAAAAAATATTAATATTTCTTTACAGAAGTTTTAGAAAAAAAAAACATGATTGAATTATCCTTTAAAATGCTTACCTCCTTAAAAACGTTGGACACTGCAATGCAAATGCTCCTATACATAAAACTTTTTTAATACAACAATTATAAATTTATTTAATTGACAAACAAAATCAGGAAAAAAAAATTAAAAACCGAAAGATTATGTTGTTTTGATAGTCTTGATTTTATTTAACATATGTTATATGTGTTAGAAAACAAATCATAGGCCTAGAGGCTTCGTTGAAGTTTCCGTTTGAAATTAGATACATGCCATAAAGCGGTTAGCGAAGCTAACCGCTTAAAAAAGCACCAATGCTTATTCTTCAATAATTTAATGCTTTAGAAATTTGCATTGACCACTAAAAAAATTTTGAAACTGTAAAAAAAACATTAATATTTCTTTACAGAAGTTTTAGAAAAAAAACGAACTATCCTTTAAAATGATAAAAAGAAATTTGGAAATTCCTTAAATATATATTCGTCTTCTGAGTTCCTTGAAATTAGAATGAAGCACGATTCTTCAAAGTAATTGACCCATATCACGTGATAAAAAGTTGGCACATGTAACTAGGAATGAAATCTTTTGGAAATTTTAAAGTCATCTTGATCAATGTACCTCTTTCAAGTATTAAAATTCTTTAAATCTTTTTAACAAATAAGAGCTACTGTAGCATCAAGAATCTTAAAATATAAAGGGATTCTTATGAAAATATCAGACATATTCCGAGATTTATTTCAATTTGATTCAATACTTAAAACATTCAAATTCTTAATTTGATTATTTGAATCTTAATTTATTAATGTATTGTGAAAACTTCATTTTCTTTGTACATTTAATTTTTATCTCATATAATTTGTTATAGTAAATTTTTTTACTTGTTTAATTTTTCATAACTTTTTTTTTTGGTAGAATGACAATCAATTTTCTTTTTACAAAAAAAACTTGTTTTTCATAGTATGATCCGGTAGAAATGTCTTCTTTTTTCAAATGGACTATAAAAGCGATAGCTATATAGATTCTTTTAAATAGCGATTAGAGAATTTCCTGTAAACGATTTTTTTTTCAAATGTAGTATATACATGTAATTAAGAACGATCTTTCTAAGAATAAGAATTTTCAATTTTCAGCCACTTTTTTACAAGATCGCGACAACCAATCTAATGGCATGTAAAATGACAAAAAATTGAAAATTGTTTCTGATGTTCATGGTTTAAAAATTAAAAAGATTTTGATTTTGTTTTTTTAAATGGATAAGTTCTTTACATGGTTGAAAAATCTGCTATCGCATAGATCTAGACTTTATAACTATTTTTTAAATCTCTAAGTTGGGACATGTTTTCCGAAACACCCGTTATGAACTTTTATGAACGTATAAGTATCAACAACAAAAACATCTCTTTTTATTAAGATATTCACTTCATTGACTACCTTTACTATACCTGATAAATGCAGTAATATTTTAATAAGATTTTTTTTTCATTTTGGACACCATTACTGATACACAATAGAATGAGCAAGGCCTCTGACAGAGCTTTTTAGGAAAGGCATATACTATTTAAAATAATAAATGTGTTAACATTTTTGCAAATAGTATTTAAAATTAATAAATGTGTTCACATTTGTGTATAAAATCTAATATAAAAAGTAATATGATCCTGATGTAAGTTCACTCTTTTCACATTTCAAATACGACCAAATTTCTGACAAATATTAAAACATGTGAGAGATGGATTACCAAACAAACAACCACTTGATCTTTACACTTGGTAAATTGAAATTAATGACTGTAAAATTCATCTAGATCATATCAGATGTAATTCTCTTTACTTTTTAAAGTGGCTGTTTGTTACTTGCTATGCTATATCACCAAATTCTCTCCATCTATTTCTCAATAAACGCCGGTAATAATGTATGACCTGATTCTTAAACAAGTTCAAAGACGAATATTGCTGTCAGCTTCCTTTTATTAGGTTTGTCCATGTAACTGATTTGATAAATACGTGTATTTGAGTTGAATGGAAAGGAATAGCAACAACAATCAGAAAAATACTAAAAGTATTGAAGTTAGAAAAATTAGCTTCTGGAACAAAACTCCCTCTAAGAACACGTCTAATAAGCATAATAAGCATAAGTGATTGCACCCTTAGAACATGCATGTTTATTGTGTTGGAAGGCAAGTCTTCTTTTCATTTTTAAACATTTTCCTTAACATTTTTTTTCATTTTTAGCATACATTGTAATACATTTTAATTTAGGTTAAACTTACATTGAATAAATTTTACTTCCCCGAAATAATGGGTAAAACAAGCAAAAAACGTTAATCATCCCAAGATTATGTACATGTGTACAGTAATCTCCGTTATCAAGCAAACATTAAGATAGGTATGATTTGATGGACATGATGTGATTGAACTTTAATATTAAATTTTGTTTGAAGAATATTTGTCTTTGCTTCAATTAACTGATATTTCTTAACCCATCTCCTCAGCTCAATGTTCGCGAGATCGTCAAGACGATTGTTTTATTTCATACATTACAAAATTTTTATGTTAGAAAGTACGTTCTGATAAGATGGAAAATTCCAGAACAACGTCAGCAGTATTGGAGAATAAGAATAGTCTATGGTTGTACCTTTAAAAGAATTAGTTGGAATGTTTGATTTCTTAAGCATTTTATGTGATAATTCAAGGTCGTTCTTTGCAGCATTCTCGAGAAATGGTCCAGATGAGTTGAGAAGATGTAAAATTTGACAAATACATTCGCTTCTTCTGATGTTAAACATGGTCTTAAGTACAGTTCGGGAGAGACATGGCTCCTAGGCCAGTAAAACATAGACAAGCTATTTTTTGATCTCAGTCTCACTTTAACCAAGTGAATTAATAGTAGAAAAGTGAGACTGAGATAAAAAGTGAGCTCATCTAACTTTTATGGCACCTGGCCCGGGGGCCATAAAACGTAGACGAGCTCGCTTTTGATCTAAGTCTCACTTTTCCACTATATATTCCTTCGGTAAAAGTTTATGGCTAAGTTTTATGGCCCCCAGGTCAGTTCGCGTTCTAAGTTTTATCTAAAGAATTCAGATAACTTTTTTCGTAGAATACTTCTTATGGATAAGTCTATAAATCTGTCAACATGGTATTTTGAAATCATGTTTATTAATGTCAGTCAAGTTTTCAGCACTAAGATAAATAATTTCTTTACTACACAGAGAAATATCCCTGATTTCTTTGAAAAAAAAATAAACAAATAAGGACAAGATTGCGTCAATGTATGAAAAGATTCAAAATTAAAATTTTTAATTAGATTTCTTACGGTCGGACAAAGCTCTATATGTACACTATATAATCATTGTATTTGTTTTTGTCCCCGAGTTGCATTTCCTTGTAAATAAATCATGCTTTGTGGTCTTCTGTGCTCTTCGGAAAATTGTTCAACCTTCTGAGATATTCATCTGTAAAAGAAAATGAATTAGATGTGTGTTTGCACTACCATATGGATATAAAAAAGCAAAGCTGTCAGCCAAATAGTATGTCCAAATGAATTTCACTACGATCTGTCTATATAAAGATTTGTAGAGATAGAATATGAGTCAAATAGTGCGGTAAAGCTTTTACAAGTTTATGTATAACTGAAACAGAAATAACTTGTACTGTACTTAAAGTTTATATAGACCTAATGAACTCAAAATCAAAAGTGATCTTCCTTAAGCCATTGAAATTCGAGATATAAATTTTCAATGAAATTTGTTTTAAGAAATCGCGAGAAAATGAAAGTGTTTATGACAAACAGAAATAAAGACGGACGACGGACAACCGATAACCCCCGGAAAACCTAGAGTCATCTTCGAGTGCTATTGTTGTTCAATCATCAGCACAAAGAAACTTTGAAGACTATTGTATATATTTGTTGTGAATATTTAAAAATTATCTAAACGACTTTTGAATTCTTTATGGATATTTTTTGCCATTATTGACGGGATACACATTACTGGAGTTGCTAAACTTTCATCAAATTTGATATTTTCATAAAAAATGTTTATTTCTTAAATCCATTTGTAGATTGAATTCTATATTAATTGAAATGAAATTTACCTTTTTTTTTAACTGCATCGATGTCCTGGTATTGATGATCTTCTATCTTTGTGATATCTTGCTTGACGTAATCTTCTTTTCTAGTGGCATAAATATGTTGTGAAATTTGAGGTCATATTTAAATTATAAACAAAATTGCATCAGTTTAAAAAAAAAATAACTCACATGGATCTTCTGAAACAGCATATATCTGAAAATAACAGAAAGAATAAATGTTTCAGAATCTGAACAATAGTATTCTTGCCTTTTCTATCATATTTCCTCTTCAGGATGATAAAAATTACAAGTCCGACACAGACGACGAAGAAAACAGTAGAGATTGTTGTCAATGCAGGAAAAAGGGCGGATAACTCTAAAAATAATTAATAAATTACCTATTTTATATCCATGTTCATTGTTTAATTCTATGTTGTTGAAAAATTAACAATTGGTGTAATGATGAAACCTTTAGCTTTAAATTTGTATTTTGCAAAAATAGTGTACAACCTGTTGAAGATTTGCATGAGCTCTGCTGAGATTCGGGGTCTTCTGTAAAATACCCGGTATTGAAATGAAAAGTAAATATAGTTCTTAGGGAAATTTACATTTATAACAACTTATATACTTATTGACAATCTCACTTTAATGATTTTATTTTAAATTACGTATTTTCGTAAATCTAACCTCCTTCGGACGGCCCATTCTGCATCAATACTCTCTGAATTCAAAGCTAATATATGTCCGATACATATATTTGATACAGCATGACGCGATATAGTATAATGTAAATATTTTGCTTTATTTAACTCACTAAATATGAGAATTGATTATTTTCTTTTATCTTTATATAAATCTTGCATGTAAACATTTAGTTATGAGTAGTCAATTGTAAAAATAATTTCCCGCAACAATAAAAATTTAAAATTAAATGCGGAAATAAATAACTCAGACAAACAATGCAAATATATATGAAATGATATATATATATATATATATATATATATATATAGGTGTACGATATCAAAGGCCCTGAGTGCCGAGCATAGGCCTAAATTTGCAGCCCTTCACCGGCAATGGTGACGTCTCCATATCAGTGAAATATTCTGGAGAGGGACGTTAAACAGTATACAATCTTTTGTGCTTAGTGTACATGCATAAAAAGTATTTGCATCTACATCGATTTCGAGCACTCATATAACAAGTAATTAGACAAAGGATAGAAAATGTATGTGTAGATTTAGCTTAAGTCAATAAGGGTCCTAGATATGAATAATTGGCATGTTTGATTAAACAACTTAAAAAAAGAAATTTAGCGTGAATTTTTGAAGAGTTGAATTGTAATAATGAATAGATTTACTCTAAATATTTTAAACAATTATCTATTTTCTACGGAAGCCCGATGAGGCCAGTCCAGGGAAAGAAATTGCGTTTAATTGCAAAACAAAACTTTGCGTTAAATCGCAATAATTATTGCGTTTAAACGCAAAACTTTGCGTTAAAGCGCAATAATCATTGAGTTTAAACGCAAAACACTTTGCATTCAATTGCAAAAGATTGCCTTTAATCGCAATCTTTTGCGATAAAAGGCAATTATATTGCGATTAAACGCAATTATTATTGTGATTAAACGCAATTAATATTGCGATAAGACGCAATAATATTGCGTTTAAAAGCAATAATTTTTTTTGCATTTAAACGCAATAATCTTTGTATTTAACAGCAAGTATTTCTATTGATCTTTGAAGAGTGCAATGGATCCACGCTGATATTTGTTTCTTTTGTACATTAATCTATGAGGAGAATTATGTATTGTTAAGCTTTATAGAATCAGATTCTTCTGAACAAGCATTTTCTGAATGGTTAAATCGGGGTATGGATTTAGAGAGGAGGAAGAAGTGTCGGTCTGTAAAAGCAAAAACAACCTTAGAAAGAAACAAAGCTTTAGCATGCAAAACTATGCAAACAATTTTAAAGGAATTTCGAAATAAAAAACTAGAGAAGAAATAATGATGGAAAAACTATCACTCCTTGTTGCGGTCACATAGTTTACACCATGTACCTTTATAAAGGGCTTTAGGAAACGACTGATGAAATGTTTAGACTTATGTATATGTACATGTGCATATTATGTATATGTATATTCACAACCTTTCCTTTGATCACATACAGTTAAGACGAGATCAAGAGAATTTAGGAGATGGAATCACATGAAATCAAAAATAAATCAAATGAAAACAGATTGTTCGTCGTGTACTACCAAATTGATATGGCTATTAATACCAATGAAACATTCTAAATTTGATACCGACGGAATTTATTAATGCGTTAAAAGTGTTGGATTCTAAGGTTAAAGAAACTTTGGTTGTTTACTAAGGATGCCATTGTTAAACTGAAAATCTCACAAACTGCAACATTTAGCAACAAGACACAGAACCATCTTCTATAAAGAATCAAACCGTAGTATTCATGATAATTTTCGGCTAGACGATGTTTGAATTCAAACTACAGCACTGAAATATTGTGTTTAAATTCAAAATAAATCCTTAAAAGAAAGGATTATTGCGATAAAATGCAGAGAGTATTGCATTTAAAGTATTGCGATTAAACGCAAAAAATATTTCGATTAAACGCAAAAATTATTGCAATTAAACGCAATAATTATTGCGTTATATCGCAATATTATTGCGTTATATCGCGTTTAAACGCAATAAAAATATTCCTCTCTGAACTGGCCTCAACGGGCTTCCGTAATTTTTAATGAAGTTTTATAATATAGAATAATAAAAAACACACACAAATGGTAGACATAACATTATTCAGAATGGGACAAAAATCAAAAAAATTCTTCTAAAGAGATTAAGATTGAATGAATTGTAAAGATAGTTTACCTTCAGGAGTTATATAGAAAGTTGTCATAAACGATCCATAATCATTGGCTACCCTCACAGTATAATAACCAAATTCTTCTTCTTCTACGTTTGTCTTTTTCAAATGCAAAGTAAATGAAGAAATATTTAAACTGGTCCTGGTCGTTTCAAAATCTCTGGACAAAGGAACTTCCGGCGAGGTACTTGTTTGTCGGAAGCTCCATTGAAAAGATGGAGTAGGGTATGATTGAAAACTCGCCGATATTTCTAGCTTGTTACTTGTAGGAAGAGCAACTCGTAGAAAGTATAAGCCATCCAGGGATCTTGGCCCACCTTTAATTAAACTTTATTTATTCACAACAAACAGATGAACTTTAGTACAAAAATATTTCAACAAAACATTAACTAATGATTCAGTAGATTAATATGCTATTAGAAATATCATTTAAAATATTGCATCGTGAATATCTTGAAATTCAAATTTGTTATAAATATGGAGCATGTGCACTGTCAAGCAGTTCTTCAGCTCAAATATCTCTCATTTCTAAAAACGATTTTTTTTTTTTGAAATCCAAAATATGTTAAATACATAATTATGTCTTAGTCAGTAAACATACAGTTAACAGATATATTTATCGGATTCGATGAAGTAAAGCCTATAGAATTTTCGGCTGTACAAATGTACGGCGCTGTATGAAAACATCTAGCTGATTTTTCTGTGAACCTCAGGATGTTCGTCAAGGAACTCATGTTGACAATCTCATTGGTTTTCTGATTCCGAAAAGACATATTTGTGAAACTAGGGCTATCGACTGAGCAAAACACTGAAAAGGGTGCAGATTCGTTGACTGCTGGTGCGCCATGAAGTCTAAAAACCCGAATTCTAGGCATATCTGAGATGAACGATATAAAGCTTTAAAAATTTAGACAGACATATCAATTTGATAAAATAGTTGTAATATGTCTCTTTTGATAAATTTAATTGATTAAAAAAGACAGCTTACATAACACCGTTAGTCTCTGAGATGACTGAAGACCAGTAGGCACAACAGAGTTATTTGCCATACATATTATGTTCTTTTCGTTGTCCTCTTTGTTGACTGTAATATTTAACATTGAATTCACAGTATACGTCTGAGAAGAAGAGTTGATGGTAGAGTCAATGTATGTTGATTTAAAGTATGTTCCACGGAATATCCACCAGAGATATGCAGAAGGACGACCCCCGGAGGATGAACACTTGACCATTATCTGATTGCCCTCCCTTGTCAATGGAATCTTAGAAATCTCCGGAATTCTCGGTCTCACTGAGACAATAGATTGTAGAAGAAAAGGCAGAGTGTTATTCCTAAAGTTTTGTGTTCAGTAAAATGTTCTTATATGAAACAGATGTCTCTGACTTTTCGTTTGTCTTTTTTTTTCAAGTTGCCTAGGATATATCAAATAAGTTTAATTGAGTTTACGTCTTCAAAATATATCTAAATGATGAATGGAAGGCAAAAAATAAACATCTTATTTTATGGGGAAAAAATCTGATCAAATGCTACTTCAAATGAATACAAAAATTGGTCTTAAAAAGAGGGGCACAATTTGCGCACATAGAAATTCCAAGAGATTGTTCAAAGACTTGATCACCAAACTGCATTCAAATTTTAACATAATCCGATGCAAACGAGGAACATGTATTACTTTAAAAAAAAAAACAGATAAAATATTTAATCTTAATTAATGACTGATTTTTATCTTAATATACTTTACAATTTGGAAAAATCGTGTCTCTTCAGGATGCTCATGCTGAAACCTTGGAAATCCGGAATATTTGAATAAAAATAATGAAGATCTGTAAAAGGATTTGCCAAAAGCTAGGGTCACTTACTTACACGTGAAAGGGTCAGAACTATGGATGAGAGAAATAATCCTTAATTGAATCTACATTTATACCTTTTATTATACCACAGCAATGAAAAATATATCAGTATTTTCAAGCTAGTACCGAAGTGCTTAGCTACCGGGCCGCAGATACCGTTGTGGACTAACTGTTCACCTCGACTCATGGGCCTATTCTATACGGTTCCAATTTGATGCAACAAATGCATTTTGAAGAAAATTATAATATATATATTATACAATATCTGGTACTTACAGTTAAGGAATATTTGAACATTTCTTCTCATTGGTTGGGATAAAGCCGGATTGTATGCAGTGCATGTGTAGTTTTGTAGATCATTGTCTCTTGTAGGAATAAAGCTGTAAAATGTCTTATTAATACCAGTAGATAATAATGCAGATCCTTTATACCAAGACACATTGGCTGGAGGATCACCACCCGGTGACTGACATGACAGATTCAAAGATGAACCTTCTGTACCATTGACTGTTAAGGTACCATTTACATTGTAGGAATCAATGTCTATGCTGGATGGACGCACTTTAAAAATATAGCTGAGTAATAACTGTTTTTAAATACTAAAAAGAAAAAATTAAAGACATCGCCATTTTTCTATACTTAAAAAACAAAATGAAATTACTTTCAGATAAAATAGATATTTACGAGGGCCGTTCAAAAATTACGCGGACTGTGCTATTATCTACCCGTACAGACGTCATATAGTTATAAAATTTCACAGAAATATGTATCTTAAAGATTCCAATAAATTTTGGGCAAAATTTCTGTATTTTAAAAAGAAATCTACTAAAATTATCGGTTTGTTCGTATCGTTGATGGAGAGGTACGGCGCACGACAAAAAAAAAAAAAAAAAAAAAAATTAAGCAAAGGCATGCGGATTCAAAAATTTTACTCATTGATTTTCTAAAATTCGCGACATTTTTCAACAATTTTATCAAATGTACCTTTAAATTGTTCTATTATTATGTATTTAGATTTCGGTTGTAATATTTGAAGTACTAACAGAAATATAGTCATTTTTCTCTGATGCGATTCCCGTGAAAACGACTGTGAAAATGACGTCTCCTGAATTGACGGCGCACGACACTTTTGTTAAAATATGTGTAATACTCGAGATATCGGCAACATAGATCCAAAATATGCATAATAAAACATGTAGTAAAGTAGGCTATACCCGTTATATTCGCCCCACAAATAGCAAATTGAAATTTTAGACAGTTAGACCTCTGTATAAAGGCTACACGGGAGGACGGGAAGAAGATTATAGATCGACGAAAAGTTAACTTTATCCGGACTGTAAAGAACGTGATTGAGAGTCACCAATATCACACTATATCTCATAAGTAGTTTTTGGTTTTAAAACAAAAAAAAAAAGAATATTCTATACTTGTTTAATAGATTTTAAGCTTGACAAGAAATGGTGTTTTGATGTTGAGTAGATAAGGTAACTCAAACTATATATACTCAAGGGAAAATGTTGAGAAAATGAAAGCTCAATCACATATTTTTTATAATGCTTGTGACGTCGAAGATTTTGCTGCGCCGTGACTTACTGGTATGTCCTGAAAAATCACTCAAAATTAATACCAATTTACAACATTTTGATATGAAATTTTGAAGACCATATAAGTAATGATTCTTTTATATTATTTGTGAAATTTAAGCCGATTATGTCGTCAAATATTTCTTCTGTGCAACAAGTCCGCGTAATTTTTGAACGGCCCTCGTACAATATAATTTCAGATTTATCATGTGTTGTTTCGCTGGAATCGAGTTCACATCACAAGAGTATTGCCCGACGTCATCCTCTCTGGTGAGTCCAGCTAGCTGAAGGTCGTATCCCTCTGTATCTGTATTTCTCACCACTGTTAGGCGTTCCCCTCTAGATAATTTAGGGTTTTTCTGCTCATTAAAAAAGTAGGCAGTCATTGACGGTGGTCCTCTCCAGCCCGTTCGTCCATTTTCGTCTGGTGGTGATAAAGGACATATCAATCGTATCGCCCCTCCCTCCTTTCCATAGGATACAGTATCACCTGATTGCCCGACGACTTAATAAGGAGAATTAATATTATTCCAATGTCCTTAAAATAAATTCACACATGTTTTCTTAATTACACATAATGCCACTTATATGTACTTTCTCCAAGACACCTTTTAGATATTGCTTTGTAAGATCAATCATTTCATTATTGTACGAACAACACAGTCAGGTTGATACTTTTTACTCGTTCAATCAATGTCATTAAAAATATTTACATTCAGCATACATGTATATATTCTTTGTTTGTAAAGTGGAAAACTATATATAGGGTACTCAAAACGACATGATATGGACAGGGGGTCATAAACGTTGAACATTGTAAAAGTGCAACGTCATTTATTAGCAGCAGCAACAATAACATAATGGAAAGAAAAAGTGCCAGAAATTTTTTAATTTATTTTTAACTATGGAATACTATACTTCGTTTACTGAATGAAGGTTTGTCAAAGTGTAAAATGGTATTAAAAAGATGATAACGTGTGAAAGGATATGAGAAATAGATAAAACATTTTTTTCTTCCTTTACCATGTTTACGAAAAGTGTTAAAAATACTTCCTTGATTATACACTTAGCTACGCGGCTTATTCTTTAACAGTTAAAATATTAATCATTATGAAAAGCCTAAAACTACAAAATTTTCTCCAAAAATGTTATATTGAAATTCATGTTTACAATGTCTAATCTTGATTCCCAATGACGTCTTACGTTAAAGAGTCTCGTGCTTCCTACTCTTAAAACAAATTTAAAAATCCTGTCCAATCAATATTCGAAATAAATTCTCTATTTCATTGCAAAAACTTTGAATATCCTCTCCCTGTATGTACTTAATTTCTTTCTATATAAATGCACTGATGACAGTAAAGGAATTCCATAGACTTTACATATTTATTACGAAGTATAGAAAAACACTTAAAGAGAATATGAAAAGTAAAATACATAAAAAAAAACAAGCATCTTACTGAATATTAATTGTACGTACCGAAACGCAACCTGGAGATTTGAAGAAGAAATAACAAAACACAAGAAATAAAAAATTGTGATTTAAGAATCTTATCCATTATAATTTATTATGTAAAGTGCTTCCGTGTCTATATTTGTAGTTTGTTTATGTTGAATTTTAGTGCGTAAAAAATATTTGCTTTCACGTCAAGCATGCTTAAGACGTTTAAGGGGGTTTCTACTAATATTTATTATAATTTTTTCACACATTCAAGATTCAAGACTGTATCAGTCATGCAGTGTTAATTGTATTTTTTTAATTTTGACCCTTTCATTGAAGGTGTAATGTCAGGTTTAAATGTCTCTATCTTTGCTTTGAATTTCAAAAAGATTTTTTGTCTTCTCTCATAAAAAAAAACTGCGAGAAAATGTCAGAAGATACTAGTATGTATTGATACTTAGTTACCTAGTGAAAGTTACTTCTGAATTCCAGATTTACTAAATGAATCTTATCTAGTAAATATACCCAATACACGGTAAAACTACTTTTAATGTAGTGATTGTGTGGACAGTAAATGTTCTAGTTTTCTTAGTAACTTTAACAATACTCAACATAAAAAAACAAAAACAAAAACAAAAAAACGCATATTCAGATTTAACATGATAATCTAATTTTTCACTCTAAGACATGTTTTAAAAGTGATTTTAGAGTGTGTCGTGGTAAAATTCAGACATGAAGATTGTAGATTGAAAAGTTGAGTTGAGGTCATTGTCGTCACCTCTAAATTGTATGGAGGCATTTCGTCTCAATCAATCCATATGTGCTTTGCGACGTCTCTCATTGCTTGTCGATTTCAAATGTACGGAAATCGTGCACGAATACCAGCTCTTCTTAGACTCTTGCGAACAATTAGTGTACATGTACTTTTATGCGGATTTCTTCTGAACCAGCAATTACTCATGTTACAGCAGCAGTTTGTACAACATGCGTTGTTGAATCTATTTCGCAGGTGCTAAAGGGGGGTCTGGACGGCCAGTTTCCGGTCCATCAAGCGTCTTCCTAACTATGTGAAGACGTACGTTTAACCACTGCAAAGGCGATTTCTGTACACCAAATGCAGTGACAACGTCCTGTTGCGTAGCTCCTGTCATCATCGTCGTTAGCCCGGTTGCATTCATCTTTGTTTAATAAGGCGTGGCATTGCAGGATCAACATTGCAATCAATTCTTAAATATGGGTTTAATAGGAATGTTTATTGTTTCTCTAAATCCAAAACATCAATGAAAGTAGACCCCCGATTTACAATAAATCATGTAAAAAACTATTTTCATAAACACGATTAATCAAGGGAAATGATTCAAGACTTGGGTTTTAAAAGCCCATGTTGTCCTTTAAATAGGTCATAGGTTTCCATTGTTAAAAAGATACCGGTAGTTGATCCATATACTTTTTCAATTTTTTTTTTATTAGTAAACAAATACTCAGTATGCGTTTCTTTTTTTTGTTGAGTATACACTGTAGTTATTTTTACAGCATCGATGTTATTTGAAATACACATCATTTTCAGCAGCCTTCATCTTCACCTTCACCTATCCCTTGACTTCCGTGTATTCCCTTAGAGCACGTTCAAAGAAGTATCCACCGCTATCATATCCATAATTCTCTTTTTCTCTCGCTCTCTGGGATTCTGCAAGCTTCAATCCTGTCCACTCAAGAACGTAATGTTCCAACCTCTTCTTTTGTCTTCCCCGTCTTTGTCCTCCTTTAACTGGACCTTGCAGGATTGTCTTTGTAACACCATCTGAGAGTTAAACGTGACCATACAACCTTAGTTTCCGCTTCTTGACGACAGTAAGGAGGTCGTCGTGAGGTCTTATAGCTTCTGTGACTCTCCTTTGAACCTCTTCATTGGTCACATGATCAGAATAATGGATGTATATTATTTCCATGCTAAATGTGTAACATTATATCTCATCTTCGAAAAGTGCAAGCTCACCATTATTTAATCTTCTTGAGAATTTTTTGAGATTTGATAGGGTTCACATTGTTGACACCCATACTTTACTGTTGGGCGATACATTACTAAGTTTTGCTGAAAATGAATGTCTTTTTCCATTGTACAATCATATATTCAGCAGTCTGAAATATTTAAATGGTATATTGTTATTGTTTGTGTATAGCATTTGTACCTCAAAAATCAAAATCTCTTGCAGTTAATAAATTCATGTTGTGAGTTTATTAGTTTTTTTTTTCTAAAACTGTGTAACACATGTAGCTTAAACTTTATAAACTTTCCATGTAGAGAGACGGCGAAATAAGTTTTGAGAACTTGTGCCCAATCCCATTGTATACTAGTATACCGGTGTTGTAGACTAGAATTTCCCCCTAAGTCAGCTTTCCCCCCCAGGAAATGGTACTCAAGAGTAGGATTTTCCTCCGAGGGGAAATCCTACACCAGAGCCAAATTTCCCCCTTCTTTATTTCTCAGAGTAGGATTTTCCCCCTTATATAGAGTCAGTATATAAACGACAGTCGCAATATTTTTGTGAAAAAAAGATAAACAACTAACTGATTTTTAAAAGGTTAATGAGTGTTTTCTTCGACTTATGTTGTTAGAATTTTCTAAATGTATATTTCAAATCAGGGAATCTCAACCAAATTATATAGCTTTTAAACGAAATCCAAATATTCTCAAAATATGAAGATGAAACAAACAAAACAATGGATGTTTGAATTGGTATATATTTTCAGACCTATTTTGGTTGTAAAATGTGAATGATTACAATAACTTAGTAAAATATTAAGAAATTGTAAACTTACTATAATGTTCAAATTTCCACCTTTCTGTAACAACCCTTATTAATCTATCAAAATTTAGCTCAATATCTCAAGTCGTTAAAAATTTAAAAACATTGCGTAAAACTGTTAAAAATTTGTAAGGTCGTAATGTCATTAAAGAAATTTAAGCGAAACAAAATACAAACTTGAATTTTTACTCATCAAGATATACCCCTTTATCAAATATCAGCTCAATGTCTTCAAGTACGGAAAACAATTTGGGACACACAAAAAGACAGAGGGACAGCTAGACAGACGGACAGACGCAGAGGAAACTTAAAGTCTTATCCAATTTCATCAATTTATTTGATTTAAAGCAAATTGTTTGACGGTAGCCAAGAAAAATTGGATTTAAAATTTTCATGTTAAGTTTTCGTATACCGGTACGTATGTTTTACTTCTGATCACCATTTTGAAGAAGGGACACTTGTAGCAATGTGCCAACCATTCCTCCTCAAAAATAAGTATAGCAATTATTGTATTCCATTGAGGGAGGGGGGTGGGCTGGCCATGGGGGAAATCGCACTCTATAACTACTACACAGAGTAGAATTTCTCCCCGGAAAATTGTCTCTGGTGTTGGATTTCCGTAGGGGAAATCCTACTCTAGAGCCAGTTTTCCGTAGGGAAATTCTACTCTAGAGCCCGTTTTCCGGGGGGGGGGAGATTTTAGGGGGAAAGCCTACTCTACAAGACCGGTATATATTACAATATATGCTTAATTCAATTCAACGCTATTTTCTTGAAAGAGAATTGCACTAGTTAGTGGCCTTGTTGTATAACTCTTCGATCACTCAAATAAGTACTAAATATCTGTTCGGTGGTACGTACTTCTTCCTGTTCTTAAACCTGCCTGTTCTTCTGCAATGATGGTCTCTGCTACATGTTTAAGTCTATTCAATAGGATCTTCAGCATCACCTTGCTTGTTGGCTTATTAAAGTTATTACATAGCTGAAGGTTTCCTTTCTTCGGTAAGGTGATAATCAGTGACTGTTTCTACGGAGTTGGCCATATTCCTGTGCTCCAGATATTGTTGCAGGTGGTTGTGAAAGCTGTAATCACTGCCTCTCCTCCAGCCTTAATGCTTAACCAGTTTCGAAGATATTTTGCCGATACCTCCTGATTTCTCTTGTTTTATAGCATTGATTGCCGCTTCGACTTCTTCTCGTATTAAATATCGGGAGTGATTCATCCTCTGTATCTGCTTGTGGGCAGTTAAATACTAGTATTGCTTGGTCTCCTTTGAGCTGGTAGTTGTATATAGCTCAGAGCAGTAACTATTCTGACTATCTGTCTAGTATCTCCTCAGTTAGGATTTTTCTGGACTTGTTTTGGATGCTTCTTGGTCTTTTTTCTCCTTGTTGAGGTCTTTAACATGTACCACTTGATAAGCTTTGTTGTTGTTGTTTTTTTTAAGGTTTTCTTCGATTTCAGAACAATGTTTTTATAATCCATTTTTTTTTAAATTTTATTCATCTCCTTTTTGATTTTGTTGTGTGCTTCCCTGCATTTTTGAGATTCTTCTGGGTCCCCTTTCTTATTTTTCAGCTCCCGTCAACTCAAAGATGTTGGCGATAACCGATGTTTTTCGGGGCACGTCATTTCCAGCAGTAAGGTCTCTTTTTTTTTTCTTTTTTTTTTTGAAAAAAAATTTGGAAATCGAATTAAAAACAGTTATATATTTGCTGTATAGTTAAATCAATGTTATGCTTCATTTTGGACCCATGAAATGATGTACCACAGCTGAAGTTATCAGTTGAGACTTGTTAAAGTACCCTGCTTGATGGCATTAGAGAGAAATGAAGCGCCCTTCGCTACAGAGCATGGAAAATTTCAAAACCCACAATCTGCAGGCTTTGAGGTCATTTGAAAGACACAATCATCTTTGGAAAATCTTTCGCGGTTTAAATGTTGTATTCAAAAAACAAAACAAAAAAAAAAAAACAAAACAAAAAAAAAAAACAAACAAACAAACAAACAAACAAAAAACAGTTATTAATTTGCTATACAGTTTAATGTATGTAAAATGCTTAATTTCAGACCCATTTCCATGAATGTTGTTATATAAATATCAGTTGATGCTTGTTTATTAACTGTCCTGCTTGACTGCATCGGAGAAAAAGACCATTTGCAATTGAGCGTGGAACTTCTGCAAGCCCACAATCTGGAGGCTCTTAGGTCATACGAAAGACACGTCATTTCCGGCAGTAAAGTTTCCTTTTTTTAAATTTAATTCGAAAATACTACAGTTTTAAATCTTATGAATAATCGATATG